CTCTGAACAGTTTGACCTAGTTGGAGACATCACTGCTTATTGCAGGGGGAGCTGGACTAGATGGTCTTTAGAATGTATTGTGTTGGAAGGGACCTCTGTGATTCTAAGTGATAACTGGAGCACGAGGGGCTTCTATTTTTTGAACAAAATTTAAGGTGAAAATTGTTGAATAACATGTGTTGCTTGTATGTGGGTTTTGTTCAGTGAGTAGCCTGCTTTGGAACAAACATCAAGGCAGGATGACTACACATTAGAACCTCTTAGATGTGCATGTGGCATGTCTGTGTTCTTAACATGGCTGAAGTCAGGGTGTCGTGTGGAGTCTCATAAGTCCCCTCACTGGGTAGTGGGCTTATATTTTTTTTAAAATTCATTCTGCAGGCATCTTTGTTTCTGGTTCCTGTTAGACTGTCTCAGTTCAGGGCTGGAGGAAGGCACAGTAATTAAACAGCTTGCACACATTGCTTGTCACATAGGAAAATGTAGCAAGAAAGGGTAGAAACTGGTTCAACTGCTAGTTACCCAAGCCCCAGCCCATAATAATGCCCAAGTGGTGTGGCAATGCCTGGTGTTGTAAACTACCCTTCCAGAGAGCTTGGTTGATAAGCTGTTATCTAAAATTGTCTTGATAGAACTTAATTTGTTTCCAGCTGTAGTCTTACAGATGCATCATTAGTGTCTTATTTGATTAGTGAAATGTTCTTATGCTTTCAGTTAAAAATTACAGCTTCAGTTAACTCTGCACATTGGTCTCCCAAATGGGATTTGTGTGCCAGTTATCACAGACTCCCTAGTTCTTGGATGAGGAGTTAAGCAGAGAAGAAAGGCTCTGTCCTGAGAAGTGGTGTGGCTGCTGCAGGGGACTGGTGCTGAGCTGGGACTCACCTCCAGCATCCTGGTACCCGTGGGTAGGGTGCTGCTCTGCCTGTGCTCCAGCTGAGGGCCTCTGGAGAGTGGTGCCCATGTAGATCTGTGTTTCCATGGGCACAGTGACCCATTTGTGAGTCTGAACCCTTGCTGAGTGGCTGTGGTGTGTGGGTGAGCCCGTGTGCTTGTCACTGTAAAGGTTTTCCTTTTGGAGATGAGCCTGTGTTCTTCAAAGGTCACCTGCATTCTGCTGAACAGTGGCCAGCACAAGTTACAGAACTTAACAACAGATAAAACCCTTCTTGATAAGTGTAAAAAAAGGCTTTGTTTTGAACTTGTTGGAATAGCCTGTTCATTGCACCAACGTGGGCTGCTCAGTGCTGAGCTCCTCTGTCCAGCCAGGCTGTGCAGACCTCCACCTTCAAACTGCACATCTCAGTGCTTTGGGATGTCCCTGGTGCTGAGTTGGCTCCTTCAGGACCTCAGAGGTCCTTGTCCTGTGTGATAGGCAAGAGAGCAGCAGTTCAGACCCCAGGCCTTGGGAACAAGTGCTTCTGAGTTGGGTGCCAGCAAGTGCAGCAGCTCCTTCAGTGCCAGGTTTGCTCTCTTCAGAGCAGAGTGCTGCAGAGTTGAGAGGAGGAACTGTAGGAATGAGCTCAGGCTGTTGGGTCCATGCTGGTGGTGCCCTGCAGGGACTGACTGCTCTCTTACAGACCCAAAGGGAAGAGCCTGGCTGCTCCTGAAGCATAGCCAGGGCTTTGGCCTGGCTTTAGGGGGGTGCTGCTGGGTGACCTGAGCATACTCACCTCTAACAGCAGCATTCTCCTCTTCCTGCACTGAGGACACTTCCCAGAGTGTTCACAAGCAGAAGTAAAAATGTTGTAGTGAGCAAAACTCCCCTTTATTCCCCTCCAAACTGCAGGGTTTTGGCAGGGTAGGCACAACACTTGGTGCAGAAGCCCTCATGTATAGCCAGACCTCATGTATAGCCAGATCTGCACTCTGCAGCTTTTTGTTCAAGTTGAGGGAAGTGTTAGGCAGTCTGGGAGTGTTTGATCTAAAAATTTATTAGTGTACTCCTGCCAGACTTCCCAGCTCCCCCGTGACTTTAAGCAGCTCATTGTTACATAGCAACTGAATGAATTCTGTATTTGAAAACTGGGATCTTTGAACGTTTGGGTTCAGGGCATGTGTATTTGCTTAAGAGTTAGGATTAATCACAATAATGCCCTTGTGCTGGAATGTGCTTTCTCACCACCTGTAAAGGGCAGGATTCCATTGTCTGGGTCTAACACTGTGTCAATTTTCTTCTCTTCTAGGTCAGGAAGACTATGATAGATTACGACCCCTCAGCTATCCACAGACAGATGTATTTCTGGTCTGTTTTTCAGTGGTGTCTCCTTCTTCATTTGAAAATGTGAAAGAAAAGGTTGGTTGGACTCTGCCTGGCAAAAGGGACCTGCTGCTGCCACTTCAGAAACGTGAGGAGTTACCTTGAGTGCTTAGTAACAAATACTGTGTCTTCTCTGTCTTTAGTGGGTACCTGAAATAACTCATCACTGTCCAAAGACTCCTTTCCTGCTTGTTGGGACCCAGATTGATCTAAGAGATGATCCCTCAACAATTGAGAAACTTGCCAAGAACAAGCAGAAGCCCATAACTCCAGAGACAGCTGAAAAGCTGGCCCGGGACCTGAAGGCTGTCAAATATGTGGAGTGCTCTGCACTTACACAGGTGAGGGTTGGTCTTTCACCATTTGTGCTTGTATTCCATGCTTTTTTTTTTTCCAGTTACAGGGAAAACCAGCTCAGTATGGATGTGAAAGGGTGTGTGACCTCTGTTTCTGCTGGTTACACAGCAGCTTTCTCTTTGTCCTGTCCTAAGGCACAAGGAGCTGGCAGTGGTAGAGAGATCAGCTTGTGAAGATTAAGCATAGTATGGAGGAGGATGTGCTCACTGTGTTTGCTTTCATGTTGGAGGAAAACAGCTCCTGAAAATGTAGAAGGTGTGACGTGGACAGTAAGTGGATTAGGACACAGAATGCAGTTTGCTGCTGAAGAGTGCAGGCAGAGGAAAAAACCTCTCAGAAAAGTCAGTTCTAGTACTTCTAGGACTAGAAGCCTTAGTTGAGGGGTTTTCTCTTCCTGTGCCATTGTTGGTGAGCTGTTTCCTGTGTCTGCCTTAAGATAGAAGTTCTGTTGAAAGAGAAAATAACAATGAAGTTCTTAAGACATAAACGTGGTGATGTTGTGTGAACTAACTTGTCAACATGGGTCTAAAGCCAACTGAAACAGCTGATTTGAGGCTGGGAAGCCTGATTATCCTTTCCCTTTAAGTTAGGAATACTAGAGTGGGATGGATGGGAGCCATCAGCTGGCTTGCTGGCATCTTGCCTTGACTTTGGATGCCCTGGGAACTTAATCTTGCCTGCTTGCTCTTGCAGAATTGACTACAACTCTTAAACAGTTTCCTTAATGCTGCTGTGTAAAGAACCTGTCTCTACCTGATGTGCATGGAATGGGAGGTGCACAGAATCAAGTCCCTCACTCTTTTCAGATGGGTTGTGCTTTCATCTCTAGTATCTTGAGCACAAAGCTTTACTGCTCAACTTCACAGAGCCTGAAGTTCTGCTTATCTTGCACCTTTTGCCCAGATTGCATGGTGACTCTTCCATTGGGGATCCTGAGCCTTTTTTTGTAACAAAGCTTTGCCTGAGTGTTTGCTGAGAAGGAAGAGGCCTTTGATGGACTTGTGCAGGACACTGGCACTGGAGGTGTTGTGGTGAGGCATGCTGCAGTTCATCCTGGGAAGCCCTGAGCAAAAGGTGGTCTTGGCTGTGCTCTGTACTGCCCACGTGCAAGCTGAGGGTTATTTGTGCTTGAGCTGCAGTTATCTTAGATCCAGTCAGTCCCCAAATACCATTTTAGATGGCGTGTGGCACATCCTGAATGCTGCTGCTAACTAGGCTGTAGAAACCTGCTAGGTGGATAAATACATAGCAGGATTTTTTGTCCTGTGTTGCTCACTGAGACCCTTTCCTCTGTAGCCTTTCACTTGCCTTGTTTAGTCTGCTCAGATTGCACGGGAGCTTTTAGGATTACTAGAGTAAGAGCTGATATGCTTAAAATTTTCAGTGTTTTATCCATTCTTTTTATTTCCAGATAGACTAAACTGTATCTTGCAGAGAACAGCTTTATGAACTTGGAAGCTCAGCCTGAATTTTCTTCCAGAGCACTAGTGCTTGTAGACCCATTGATGGTTTTAGGAATCAAGAGTAACCTGGGAGGAGGGTTCAGAAGCCTTCTAACCTGAAGACTAGTCGGTTTGCATCTACTCTGTTCTTCTTCCTTTGTCTGTTGTTGACTCCCCTCACAAACCACCTTTTTCCTCAGTCTGTCAGTAGCAGCTGCTGGACAGAAGTGTTGACTCTCTGTGAAGGGGTGTTTGAAGTTCCTGGCAGTGGTCTAGTTGGCAGCTGGCTAAACACAGAGGTTGGCTGGCTTTGCTAGCCAGGAGGGTTGTTCTCCTACCTGCCAGGCAGTGCTGTAGTAGCTGGACTCACCTGGGTGGTTCAGTCT